CCTCAGGCGACGGGAGCCCCAAGGCAGGCCCGGCCGGGGCCTCCGCCTTCACCGACACTCGCAGGCCCCGTACGGCCGCCATCGCTGCCTGCCGGCCGCACCACTGAGAACCCGCCCGGACACTCGCCAGCTAGAGCGCCGCCGTCACCGGCCACCAAGGAGCCCCCGCTTCTACCTAGAGCGTCCCTGCTTCTGTCAGAAGGCTGCCCTGAGCGCCACCGCCCCCTGGTGGCCGGAGGAAGCCGGGGCGGGACCCAGTGAGGAGGAGGCGGGACCCAGCGGAGACCCGGCCTGAGCGGTTTAGTCTGGGACGAGAGTGCCAGGCCCTGAGGACGAACCCGGTGCTACGGGCTGGCCTTCGGGCCATCACTGTGCCAGACACTTCCGAGCGCTTGAGCCCTTACAGCACTGTAGGAAGGAGGTCCTGCTAGGACCCGTGTTTCACATATGAGGAAACTGAGGCATGGAAATTGACCCAGTGTGCGCATGCCCAGGGCAAACTCAGAGGTCCCCGGACACAAACTTGGAAACTTCACTCTATGTCAGCCTCACAACGGGGGTGGTTTCCCACTGCGCCACCAACAGACTCCCATAGTTTTTCATAAACTTAAGCTAAACCACAGGACAAACAGGATGGAACTCCTTTTTTTAGTTTTTTGAGAGATTTTTGCTACAGGGCACGTGTGCTCATCAGAGAGACAGAAAGCAATAAAGCATCCCCCCAGGGGATGGCCACACCACAATCCCTTCTCCCTTCTCTTGGGACTTTGGGCACACTCACACACGCACCCGTTTTAAGCACCCTGGGGGTCTGGGAATTGAACCTCAGTCAACACTGTGGGAGGTGGGAGTCCAGCGACCTAACCAGTACACCATCTGCTGGTCCCCATAGCATGGAACTCTTTAGAGAGCTGCTTTTGCTTGATAAGTGGGGCAGACTCTCTCTGTCTGTCTGTCTGCCTCTCTCTCTCTCTCTCTCTCTCGTCTCTCTCACTCATGGAAGAAATAAATAAACTTTAAAAATAAAATAAAGAACAGGGCTCCTAGGTTTCCATCAAGCAAATCCTTTGTACCTTTCCCTTTTGGTCATCTAACTCACCAGCACCCCTCTTCCTTCTTCAGTGCAGCCTGCTGACATGGGGCCACAGAGGACTTAGAAGGTAGTAAGAATAATTTTCAAAACTGAAAAAACATGACTCTCTTGGGCCAGCTGGTGACGTGACAGTTAAGGCTGCTAGATCCCACATGACTGACTATGCACTTCAAGTTCTGGACCCAGTGGCTTGAAAAACACACTGAACACATGTGCATGAGTGCCCAAAATCCCAAAAGGAGAAGCAAAGGAAAAAAAGATTGTAGCATGACACCCAACATGGCAGGTGATTTTTTTCTCTCTCTGTCTCTCGCTCGCTCGCTCTCTTTCTCTCTCTGGTGAGCACACACACCCTATGACAAAAACCTAAAAAAAAAAATTTTAATTAAAAATAAGAACTGGGTCCCACGTGACTGACCGTGGTTGGAATCCCAGCCCCTGACAGTTTGAGAAACACACCAGGTACATGCGTATGCCTGCCCCAAATCTCAACACGATGAATAAAAGAAGAGATTGCTGCATGACTATGCCCTGTTATGTGTGCTCTCTCCCTCTCCCTCTTTCTCTGCCTCTCTCTCTCTCTTTCTAGCAAGTGCAGGTACTTCTGGAAAATTGAGAAATGAAAAATTAAAAAGGACTACTGCTTAAGAATAAATGAGAAACAAGAGAGGGAAGATGGACAGACCTCAGAGGGGAGCCCTTCCTTAGCTTTAGGGTGTGTTGCCCAGAGAGGTGGGTGGATATTGGCACAGATTGTCTCAAAGAGGGAGAGGGGACCAGCAGTTAGTGTAATGGCCATGTTGCTGGACTCCCACGTTTTGCGTCCAGGACCCGGTGGCTTAAAACTCACGCCGGGTGCGTGTGCGTGCGTGCCCAAGATCCTGAGAGGAGAAGGGAGGAGAAGGGACTGCGGCGTGGCCATCCCTCCTGAGGAGTGATTTCTCACTTTCTGTCTCTCTGTCTCTCTCTAAAAAAAAAAATAAATAAATAAATAAATAAATAAATAAAAAGAGGGAGAGGGGCTGGGACCAGCAGATGGCATAGCAGTTAGGTCGCTAGACTCCCACATGGCTTCCAACTGCCATTCAAGTCCTGGACCCAATGGCTTGGAATTCACACCAGGCACATGTATGTGTGTCCCCAAGACCCCCCAGAGGAGAATGGAGTTGAAGGGATTGTGGTGTGACCATCCTCCCTGGAAGGTGATTTCTCAAGTTGGTAGACTGAGGAGTAGGCCACAGAGGGCCAGAGAAAGCCAGAGGTAACAGGGAAGAAAACAGGTTGAGTGGGGATCAGGTGGCAAGAACAGAGTTCCCAAAGGAGAAGACTTTATTTGTGTGATTCAGCTGAGAGATACTTTTCCCTCCCCTGGAGGGCACGTGAGCTTGCCAGAGAGAGACAGCAGAAAGACAGGGATAAGAGAAAGCACCACGTCCCCCTGCCATGGGGAACAGTCATGGCACAATCCCCTCTCCTCCATTTCTCCTTTCAGGATTCTGGGCATGCATGAACACGTGCCTGGTATATTTCTCAAGCCCCTGGTCCAGGACTCAAAACAGTGTGTTTGGCCATGTGGGATCTGGCTCCTGTAACCACCACACCATGGAGCTGGCCCAAAAGATGGTCTTCAGATGGTCTTGAACATAGTGGAGTAGTGATGTCCGGGTATACCTGTGAGAAACTCCAGTAGGTGAGGCCGTGGTTCTGGAGTCCTGGTCCAAATCTTATAGCGCATGGGCCAGATGTCAGACCACATGCCCAGGGTGCCTCTGGGGCTGTGGGCCAGGGAACGCTTCCTGGAGGAAGGGACTTGAAGATAGTGGGGGCCTAGGCAGTGGGAAGGCCAAGGAGGCTTGCCACAAAGCTGATATGGGTTGGTAACAAACTGGTCCGTCTGGTCTCAGTGGGCACATGCAATTGTCCTGGAGAGTGACAGGCCTCAGGCTTTGTCCTCGGGGTCTTAACTGGATAAATAGTGTGCCCAAGGCCCAGAGACCAGAGCCGAGTATGTCGGGTGGAGGAGAGGGCACAGGGGGAGTGGATGGTCATTTAACCTGGAACCAAGTGGCACAGACACTCTCAGAGGCCCAGACCAGCAGGAGGCTACAGGGATGCAGGAGTCCTCGCAGGCCAGGGTCTGTTGTGTGGTGAGCCAGAGGACGGGCCCCTGTTCACACTCTCATAGGCACACCCCCATTCCCCCCACATACACACCCTAGCTAAGAGTTCCAGCAACCCAGAGGGCAGCCCTGTAGACAGGCCTGGGTATGTGTGATGTGATGACCAAAACCTGAGAGGCATTTATATGGGTCCCCATATGTGTAGGTGTCCCTCTGCAGGAGCTAGAGCCCTCAGTGACCCTGGCACCCTTCCTCCTCACTCCTAGGCTAGACCCCTTAGGGTCATTGTGGTTGGGAAGAAGAGAGAAGAAAACAGGCAAAGAGTCCACGTGATCCAGAGCCCAGACATTCTCTGAGAGGTCCCCCAGCCTTGGCTGGACCCCCCTGGTGCCGACCTCTGCTTCCCCCTATGGTTAGGTCTGAAGGTACAGCCTCTAGCCTCTGATCTGTGCTGTGGGAGGGGCTCACAGAGTTCCTACCAACCAGCGTGGGAAGACAGGGGTGGGCAGGTGGGCAGGAGACCTGGGCTCTAACCTGGCTTTCCCCTGACACACTGTGACTCTGGGCAAGTCACGACTGTGGGCCACAGTGCTTCCTAGAGTGGTTGTCCTTGTGGGGAAATGACATCGTGCACCTGTGGTCCTGGTAAGCATTCTTGCCCATTGATCTGGCCTGTCAGCAGCCCAGGGTTTAGTGACCGTGTTGATGAACTAGACTGGGGACTTTTCCAGCTGCCCATAGGCCTCAGCGGGTGGGGCCGACTTTGACAAGCGGAGGCAGTGACTGGGGGAAAGCCATGCCCTGGAGGGACAGGTGGGCCTGAAGGGCAGCAGGGAGGCTGGTGGGTGGGGCATGGTCAGGACAACTTGCAAACAGACCAGCAGGGCCGGATGGCAGAGGCCCTGAACTTCAGGCCCCATGGGGACCTTGAGAGGTTCTGAAAGGGGTTGGGACATGGTCAAGTGGGTGCTCAGAAGATCCCCAGCAGCTAGCAAGGCATGGATAGGTGGGCAGAGAAACTGAGCCCAGGAAAGCAGATGCCGGGGGCCCAAACTGAGGGCTGTGGTGGTGGGGAGAAGGTGGTGATGAGACCGGCCTATCGGTCTCAGTGTCTGGAGCCCTTCTGCCTGGCTGCCAGCGCTCTTCCTGGAGAGGGCTTGGTGTAGATCCTCCCAGGAGCTCCACGGGACAAGGAAGCAAGCAGGGGAAGCTTCGGTCTCTGTTTCTCAGATGGAAAAACTAATCACCACACTGGGCGGCCTCTAGCTTGGCCTCCTTCCTGGTCTGCAGTACCAGACCCTCGGGTTGGTCACCAGTTTCACCCGCTGGGAGCTCTACCACTGAGCAAATATCAGTCATGTGGGACGTGCTGAGCCCACGGCCTCCAGGCCTGGTTCCAGCAGCCTCAGAGCTGGATTGTTTTCCTCTTCATGATCTTGTTTGCTGCGTACTTATTACGTGCCATGCCCTGTGCCGTGCACTTGGCACAAGGACTTCATTTACTATCCCAAGAACTCCATGAAAGGGCTGCTGATGTCCACATTACACAGGTAAGGACGCTGAGGCCCCTCCAGTGGCTGCCCAAAGGCCACAGTTATTAGGTGGCAAGCCTGGACTCAGGCTCAGGGCTGTCTGACCTCAAGGATGACTCCTTTCCTCATGCCCTGGAGGCCCATCTATGGGCAGAGAGCACACAGGGCCTGTGTCACAGGGACTCTGCCCCATGAGGGGCAGCTCCAGAGCCCCTATGAACCAGGCAGGGTGCCCTCGTGGGTAACCCACTGGCTCCCAAACACCCAGCTGTCTCCCAGAAGAGGCCATAGGGCCTAAACAGGAGCTGGAGCTGCTTCCTGGACTGGAGCCCCCTCACCCTCCTAAGCCAGCTCTCCCCCCTCCCTCTCTTCTCCCAAGAGCACCTCTCCCTACTGTCCTGCTCAGGGACTTTAGATGCCTCGGACTCTTCCAGCAAAGCAAGTAAAGCCAGCTGGTTTGACTGGTGAGAAAGAACATATATCCAGATGGAAAAAAATGTACACAAAGCTTTTTTTTAAAACTCAAGAAAGGGAACAGGCAGTTGGCGTAATGGCTATGTTGCTGGACTCCCACGTAGTCGACCGCGGTTCGCATCCTGGACCCGGTGGCTTAAAACTCATGCCGGGCACGTGTGCGTGCGTGCCCAAGATCCCGAGAGGAGAATGGAGGAGAAGGGATTGCGGCGTGACCATCCCCCCTGGGGGGTGATTTCTCGCTTTCTGTCTCTATGTCTCTCTCTGTCTGGCGAGCGCACGCACCCTATAGTGAAAATCTCTCAAAAAAACCCCAAAAAACAAAACTCAAGAAAGGGCTTTTATTGTTTTTAACTCACTTCCTTGGAAGTTAAATTTTGAAACACTCTTATGGAGTTTGTTCATCATTTGTGCTATATTCAGAATCAGCCATGCCAACCAAAACCCTCAGAGAGGGGTGAGTGCCCATCTGGGCTCTGACACATGGGCCATGGAAGCCCGGCTCACCTCTGTGCTTCCCCAGGGAGGATCCAATCAGCATCAGGCCCTGAAACCAGACCCTCAAAGAGCTGCTCAGGAGAAACAAGGTGATCAGTGATTGGCTGTGAATTCACCTTCCATTAACTCCATGAAAGTGTTCTTAAAAACAGAACCGAATTATTTCATAAGCCCTAGGGCACGCTGCCTTAATGCAGAGGAGCTGGGGAGAAAATGGGGACCCACTGACAATGGGCTGTGTTCTGCTCCTAGCCTTAAATAGACATATATAATAGAAACTATATTACAGATGCATGTACCGGTGCAAGACATGCGAGTGTGCTGTGTGCAGCAGATGAGCACGCGCATGCGTGTGCACATGGAGGCGCGGCGTACACCCACAGGCACAGGGGCATGGCAGGACACAGCCCTCCTCTGTCCGGCCTCTTTCTCCCTTTCCACACAAGTCCTCTTGTAACACGACACTAGTGCAGGCAGCTGAAATCCTTTAGCCCATGTTTTCAGGGGCTGTTATCTGAGTCATTTCCCTTTGGGGTCAACCTCTATGAGCATTTGGTCAGTAAATGTCAGCCAGCCAGCCAGTCTCTGATCCCAGAGAGAAGACGACGTCTGCTTCAGGAGGGCTGTGTCCACGCACACTCTAGCACTCCGGCTCTGAGCAGGCTGACTGTGGAAAGTCCAGGGAGGTGAGACAGTTGACAAACAGGGCACCTGCTAGTGTGCACACCCCTCCAGGGGTTCCATCCAGCAACGCCTCCATTGTCCTTCAACAGAGAAATGCGAGGGCACCTCCCAGACCAGTTGAGGAGGCCGGTGTAGGGTCCGAGACTGGATTCCAGTTATTTCCGCACATGCAAGGCCACAGCCCTGAGAGTCCACGGCACTCGGTCAGTGTCGGTCCCTGGTGTCTCTTCTGCAAACTCTGCTCTGGGGAACCACGAAGGGGAGTGAGGGTCGTAGGGAAGGTATGGTGCTCTTGGTTCAGGCCTTTGCCCAGAGCTTCAATTCAGCCCACTTTCTGGATGGTGCTGAGTGCAAAACACAATCTAGAAAGGTCAGTCCAGTCCACTTGGTAGCCAAATAATGGTGGGGTATGCTGGGATCCACCCAAAGCTAGGAAAGCTTGTTAGATATTCCCAAACAGGGCCTCTTTC